GGAGTGGCGAGGTCTTCAATGTTCACTACACAGTGGGGGTAAAGAAGATAGATGTGGACCTTGTTTGCACTGAAAAAACCGAGAAGGTACGAGAGAGAGGCGTCTTTGGACAAATGCAGGTCTTTTAATTAACACAAACCTAGTATTATTTGGGGGACCCTAATCAAGAAGGTTCCATTAACTCTTTTTTTTCCAATTCCATTTCATTACAGAAGATCTTTGCTTTTACACATATAACCACCACACAAAAAGTGGCCATAGGAAGTGGCTTCCGTGCCTGACAGGACCTCACCTGGTACTCAGCTGAAAGTTCCCAGCCTTGCTCAGACCACGCTCTCTCGGTTAGTGGAAGCCAAAACGGCTCTACGACAGATCGGGCAGGTGGAGTTCTCTGACAGCCAGCGATCGATGCAGTGCACGTGGTACTCGTGAGAACAAGGAAGCTTCCTCAGCTTGTTCCCCTCGGTGTACTCTGTGATGCAAACGCTACAGGTTTTCAGAGCGTCACTTTCACCAAAATTCCTCATGGCTAGGTTGTCAATTTGCTCTTTGGTGAGGCCTCTCGGTTGGTCATCGTCCTCTTCATTGAGCAGAAAAAACTGTGCCAGGCTAAGAAACGGCAGAGACCCGCTCTCTTCAAAAGTCACCGATCCCCTCGCATTCCGGCCTTCCCGCCGAGCACCAGCCACAGAGCCCCCTTCGTTGCTACTGTCGTAGGCCTCCCCCGAGCCAGGATCAGGCACTTCATTACTGGAGCTGCTATTGCCACTCGGTGGCTCTGCCATGTCGACATTCGGATTGGGGGCTGGACCACCAGGATCGGCATCACTGTCGCTGTACATGAAGTAACTCAGCTCCCCAAAGCCAGTCATTATCTGCCTCAGCATGGTCTGAATGGCCACAGATGTCGTTTCACTCAAGCCGGTGTTCAAGATTCTGCGAATGGGGATCCGAATGGTACTGACATAAGTTCTCACCCCGGCCCTTTCGGAGCGTGAAAACGTGCGCCTAAACCCTCCACGCTCACTTTCGTAAGTAACGGTATTGTTTGGGGTCTGGGACCTGGATCGAGTTCGGTTGGCTATACTGTCTCTCTGCCTGTATTCTCCCGGCCGGACTCGTCTCACTTGTAGGTCGAGAACGATAGTCGGGGGCCTCTGCCCCGGGGCCGCCGCCTCCACACTGCCGTTTGTATCTGCCGAGCCCGTCGCCTGAGGAGCAGGCCTGGCTTCCGGGGCCGAGAGCAGCACGGCATTTTCACTGGGCACCACCTCCGCAGGGGCCACGTGCTGCCTTATCACCAGGTGCTGCCTTGTTCTAGAACTTCCTTCAGCTTCCACGGCTGGGGGGGTGTCGGGCACCTGAGATGAGGTATTATGATGCGCCCTACGAGGAGGAGGAGGAGGAGGAGGAGGAGGAGGAGGAGGAGGAGACTCACTCAGTGGATTCAGAGGGGATCGACTTCGGTCAGTCCTGGCCCGAGTCCTCCGCTGCTCTGGACTTCTGCTTCTTGACCTCCTCTGGCCCCTGTGAGGAGAAGCTTCTTCAGTCAGCTCTTCAGGGGCATGCATCTCGGACCCAGACGGCCTTACAGGAGGAGGAGGAGGAGGAACAGGAGGAGGAGGAGGAGGAGAGTCAGACCGCGGAGTCTCAGGGTCACTTTGGTTATTTTCCAAGTCCTCCCCGCTGGATGGTTCCACGGGTGGCTCACCCTCTGTTTCGGGGTTTGGGTTCCCATTGTTACGATTGACATTTATTTCCAAACTGAACCTGAAGTCCCCACTATTTGGGTTAGTCCGGCTCACTGCCCTCCAAGACTGGTTTCCTCTCTGCCCGCTGCGCGTTGTATTCCCGGTCTGTCGAACTGAATTAAGCCAATCTATTATGGAATCGCCATTGGACACATCTTCTGTGGACTCTGCACCTGCTGGACAAAAGCAACTGCTGGAGTTAGGAATCTGAGCAATTCTGGGTAAAATGTTCTGTACGCAGTTCTACAAATCACAGCTTTAACACAAGGTTCTTACCCATAACTGCTAGCACCTAGATGACCACATAAGCTTTCTATGGCTCGCAAAATTGTTCAGGGTAGAAAAGCAGTTGTCAAAAATGGCTGAACAGGTGAACTGATTAGTCCTGTAGGCCAGAGGAGTCAATGATCTGTCAGTCCACTGAAGCTGTGGCAGACAACTGTGTCAATCGACACGCCAGAGTACTGTGGTACTTCAACTAGTGGGTATGAATAGGAAACGGCCTACTTCAAATAGTACCCGCCTCCCGACCAGTGTTCCCTCTGAGCTGCGTGCAGGGCCTTTGCACTAGAGCCACACAGGGTCTTGCATGGCCCATCACCCATTTTCAGACTGCAGCAGCTGCATCCTGCTCAAGATGTGAACTGCTCTGCTCGGTAGGGGGGGAAATTAGAGGGCACATTGATCCCAACCTCCCACCAGCCCCTGAACCCCCTCTAGTACTTCTCTCTTGTACCTCCCACGATCCTGTAGACCCTTCCCGTTATGTGAGGGGAGGGCTCCTTCCACTGAGGAAAGCACCTCCGCTGGTGGAATGGATCTACGGCAGCCAATCCAAAATTTGCATTTGACAAGAGCAGATCATTTCCTACAACTGTGCAAGCAGCAGCTCTCTTAAACTGTACAACTGTCAGCAAGCTGCCATTCTGTTTTTCTCTCTCAATAACTAATCCCAGATCACCTTGCCCCGGGGTTTCACCTCTCTGTGTTCCATGCAAATGTACTATTAAAATTAGGCTTACCAAGTGGCGGCGGGGGAACGGGACTCCAAACAGCCTCGTTGCCAGAGCGACGCGTTGCGTCACATCCTGGCGACGGCGGTGCAACGCGTATCGCCGTCCCCACCGCAGGGATCCTGTGAAGACATGCGGATCCTCCACCGCCACTTGGTAAGCCTAATTAGAATGCACATAACTTTATTCCGGTTCACAGGACAGTGCCGAAGAAGCTGGATTTCAATTCAACACCAGGCAGGCATGATTCCAAAGAAGCCCAGGGTCTCATTCAAAAACAGGCCCACAGCCACGACATGTGAGAAAGTGTGAGAATGCCAGCGTGGCCCCTGGCCAGTGCAGGGGTCTCCAGCTTCTGAGCCGTGCGTGCACAGGCAGGACAATCCAAACGAAGCAAAAGACCCTGAACGCAGCCCCACACAGATCGGCACTCACCTGGCATACTGAAACTGGCAGGGGTTTAGCAGGATGTGCCTAATCGTGACTGTTTATGACGGCCGGTACAAATGAGGAAGAGCACAAGCGGCTTCCATCTGGCCATAAGGCAACGAAGCACAGAACACTGAATGGTCATTAGTATTATTTGTCGGTTTATGAACAAAATGGGAAGGTCTGCAGGAAACTGCACGAGAAGGCGACTAATGGCAAAAGCAGCTCCTTGGAACTTGACCTCAGAAGTCCTGGGACACGACACGGCCCCTGGCTTCAACATTTCTACTGTGCTGGTATCCAGACTTCAACAACAGGTGAGCATTACATACCTCTACTGTCTTCACTGCTTTGCTGCGGTGGACCCTCTTTAATGTGCTGCAACCTCCTCAGCAACTCTTCTTCAGTGATCTCACCTGAGGAAAGAGTTGGCAAGAAATGTTCCAAACATCAACACACCCAGGCTTCCGTCTGGCAGCTCTGAGACCCCAAAGGCAGAATCGAAGCGGAGATGCCCACACTGGCCTTGGGGCCCCACCCGCCAGCCCTTGAAGGAGTGTTTTGTCTGGTTCTGTGGAACTTTATCAGGGCCTATTGCTTATGATGAATACAAGACCGTTATGGAGAACGTGCAGGAGAATGGCACTTTGTTTTTTAAAGTCACCTCTGCAGAAGACGGGAGAAAATAACCCCACCTCAGTAAGCCTCAGGGTTGAACGGAGACGCCCAACAAAACGTAAGCAAGCTGAAAAACTGCTTTTGGCTGAGAAAAGCCTATGAACAAAACCCCAGACTACTTTCTGTAAATTAGGTGTGTGTGTGTGGGGGGGAGGCAATTACCATCTGACAGGCAAAATCCATGATACTAAAGATCGTTAAAACAAAGGAATGATCAAGCATTATGAAAGGAATGTGAAAGAACAGAATGCTAACAGAGAATCACAGGAGTGCTCAAGTCCGGACTGCGATAAGTTACAACAGCTTAAGATATGGATATACAGAAAAAGACATTTCATCAGGAACAATGGTTACAGCAGCAGCTACACTGAGGAAAGGGAGCAGCTAACAAGGAAACGAGCTAACGATTACTGAAACAGAACAGGCTCAGCAGCCTCCCGTGGGTTCTCAGACCCATCAAAGGCAGCAACCAAGATCAAAAAGTAGCGGCGGGGGGTGGGGTGGGGGTCGACTTCAGCTTACTTGCTAGTAAGTCCAAATTTTACTCATGATTAAAAAAAGCTTGTGGGGACAAAAAATCCTAAGCGTTTTGCTAATATGACAGATATTTGGAATGTATTACGGAAAACTGAACAGAATAAATACTAACGGTGATATAAAATATTCACACAGTGTGATTAATTTGTACAAAATGCAAAGATAATTGGGAAGATGGCGCCATGGCAGGAGCACTGATAACAAGCTCCCCGCCACAGAGAAATTTTATCCTAATTTTATCTTCAATTCGACTGGGAAGAACTGTAGAAATTGCTTAGGTTCAGCTAGGAAACCTATACTGGTCCTGAGCAGAGAGCCCACTGTTACACTTTACAGCTTAAAGCTAAAACAGAGGACAGAGAATGACGCTTAAATAGAGAAAAGAGAATCAGCGTTTAAAGACAGAGAACGACGGCCGCTCAAAGACAGAAACAACGCAGAACTGGCGGTTGAGACATCTACCAGGGAGCCTGACGGTTAGAAAGACTGGACGAAGCTTGGGGGCAGAAAGAAAGATCTACCACTTTGTGGGGGGACTGCTGCTCTACGGTCGCCCTCTGTCTGATCTCGGCTGTGAGGTTCTCGTTGCTAGCCTAGTCTCCACCGGTCTTGCAAGGCCTGGGTGTCCCCGGGCATCATGCTTCAGGATCTCCAGCGACCTGATTTGGTCCTGGACATTCCCAGGACCAAATCAGACTGAAGAGCAGAATGAGGTCACAGAGGTTCAAGCAGCGATCGGCGTTGGGCAGAGCCGGAGGTCCCAGGCATGTTCGGAGGCTCTCAGAGGTACTTGGGAGCCTCAGGTTTTCCTCTGGAGTGCTTTTGCCACCGAGTGCCCCCAGTCACCACCTCTGCTCTACCATCTAACTGAGTTCCCAACTTGGCCTCACACCCATCGGTCTTCCTGGTGAGGCTCCATCAACGTGGCCGAGCTGATTTATGCTGGCCCGTGGAGATCCAATTGGTTTCCAGAATGCTCTGCGGGATCCAGTACCTCCTGGCAACTCATTAGATGAGCTGATAGAGGACTGGAATACCTGTTTCTCTGAGCCGTCAGTGTGATCGCCCCCCAATGCCCTCTTCACTCCCGCCCCAAATGAGCCCCGTGGTACACCACGGAGCTTAGGGAGACGAAGTGGGAACTTAGATGGCTAAAGCGAGCATGGCACCAGTCTTGTGACGAAGCTGCAGGAATATCCTATAGGTCATTTATGAAAACCTATGAGATGGCGGTGAAGGCTGCTAAAAGGGAATTTTTTTACAGCCTCCACTAGCTCCCGCCCAGCTTAGTTAATTAGGACAATCAGGTCTTTAGAGAATTCAAAATGCTAGCAAATTGACTAATAGCTGTGAGGCCTTTGCGAGCTTTTTTGCAGATAAAGTCTTGTCACTCCGCCACAACCTGCCCACCCATATTCATACAGTATGCGAACCGGAGCCCCTTTGGCTGTCTTTGGATTCTCTAGTTGATAACTTCAGCCGACTCTCCCAGGCCAACGTCAACCACTTGCCTCTTGGACCCATGGCCCTCATTGGCTGGTGAAAGCCAGTGGTGAGGGACTACAGGGCCCCCTGGTGGACATTATCAATTTGTCCCTTCCTTCAGGGGTCTACCCAGGATTAAAAGAGGCCGTGGTAACACTACTCTTAAAGCGACCGTCTCCGGATCCTTTAGATCCTGCCAGTTACCACCCAGTCTTGAACCGTTCGTTTCTGGGCAAGGTAATTGAGAGAGTGGCAGCGAAACAGCTACCAAGTTTCCTATAGGACACTGGGGCCTTGGACCCATTCTGGTCCAGCTCCCACCCTGACCATGGGACGGAGACGGTGCAGGTCACCCTCACAGACAACCTTTGCAGACAGCTGGCTCAAGGCAGGACGGCGCTACTGTTATCACTGGATATGACAGCAGCATTGGACATGGTCAACTGTGACCTGCTGACTCACTGCCTTCACTGATGTAGGAGTTTGTGGGGTGGCCGGGAAGTAGCTTACCCCATTCCTCCATGGCCGGGGAAGAGGGTGGCGCTAGGAGAAGTGTCACCCCGACACCCCGTAGTATGTGGGGTCCCCTCAAGGGACAACCCTCTCTCCAGCATTATTTAACATCTATATGTGCCCCCTTACCCAGCTGGTGCGGAGTTTCAGGCTGGGCTGTCATCAGTACACTGATGACACCCAGCTGTCTCTGTTGACAGATGGCTGGTCAAATACCACCTCCTCTATTCTGGCCGAAGGGCTGGAGGCCACAGCTGGTCGGTTGAAGCAGAGCCAGTTAGAACTAAATCTTTCAAAGACGGAGGGTTCTGTAGCTCAGTGGAGAGGTTACGAGGATGGGGTGCCAAATTCCGGCTCTGGACTGTGCCGACTCTGGTGCCGACTGCCAAGAGCCTGGGTGTGCTCCTGGATGCCTCCCTGTCTACCGAGGCCCAGGTCATAAAAGGTGCTAGTCTCCAGCTATGCCAGGTCAGGCAACTGGCCCCCATAGTATGTGGGGTCCCTCAAGGGGCAACCCTCTCTCCAGCATTGTTTAACGTCTATATGTGCCCCCTTACCCAGCTGGTGCGGAGTTTCAGGCTGGGCTGTCATCAGTACACTGATGACACCCAGCTGTCTGTTGACGGATGGCTGGTCAAATACCACCTCCTCTATTCTGGCCGAAGGGCTGGAGGCCACAGCTGGTCAGTTGAAGCAGAGCCAGTTAGAACTGAATCTTTCAAAGACGGATGGTTCTGTAGCTCAGTGGAGAGGTTACGAGGACGGGGTGCCAAATTCCGGCTCTGGACTGTGCCGACTCTGGTGCCGACTGCCAAGAGCCTGGGTGTGCTCCTGGATGCCTCCCTGTCTACCGAGGCCCAGGTCATAAAGGCTGCTAGTCTCCAGCTGTGCCAGGTCAGGCAACTGGCCCCCTACTTCTCTCACCCTGACCGAGCCACGGTAATCCATGCAATGGCCACCTCCAGGTTAGACTACTGTAACTCACTCAACGCAGGGCTGTCCTTGAGAGAGACTGACCCGGGAATTACAGCTGGTCCAGAGGGCAGCGGCCCAGGTCCTTCCTGGAGCCCCGTTGACAGCACATATCCAACCGGTACTTGGCCAGGTTTTGGCACTAGCCTTCAAGGCCCTAAACCACCTGGGACCAGTGTATCTATGGGACCACTTCTCCTGGAAACCCCTCTCCCCCAAGAGCATTACGCCCTGGGAAGAACATCTTGGTGATCCCTGGCCTGAAGGATATCCAGCTGTCCTCAACCAGAGCCAGAGCCTTTTCAACTGTGACACCGGCCTGGTGGAACTCTCTGCCCAATGACAGCTGTGTCCTGTGGAACCTAATGCAGTTCTGCAGGACCTGTAAGACCAGAGGTGCTTTTCCAGGCCTTTGGTTGAGGACGGCAACTGCTTGCCATCAAGTCTGGCCTCCCCCTGAACGTCCGGTTTACGAAGCAGCGATGGCAGTCGCTCTCCCCGAGCTGCGGGAGGGCGAATCGCACACCAGTGGCCTGGAGGGGTGCCACCTCAAGTGACACCCCCGCAGAGCCTTTGCGATAGGCTCCAGGCCAGGAGGCTTTTGAGGGGTAGCCTCTTCGATGGCGTAATGCCGGAGAATCGAGGCTCCCCTCCGCCCTGACGGTCCAGTCTCTACAAGTATATTGTGATACTAATACTTGTGGTACTAACATTTCACTAAGAGAAATAAGATCTCCTCCTCTTGGGTTTTTAGTTTAGTGTGGTTATCTTTCCTTTATCCCTAGTTGTAGCTCCCCTTCCTAATTTTCTTTGTAGTTTGTAGTTCTTTTTTTACCCTTGGTTTACTTGTAGTTTGTAATCTTTCCTTAAAATCTGCCTCCATTCCTGAGGATTGGAAGGTAGCTAATGTCACTCCCATCTTTAAAAAGGGTTCCAGAGGAGATCCGGGAAATTACAGGCCAGTCAGTCTGACGTCGATACCGGGTAAATTGGTGGAAACCATTATTAAGGAAAGAATTAGTAGGCACATAGATGAACAAAACCTATTGAGGCAGACTCAACATGGGTTCTGTAAGGGAAGATCTTGTCTCACTAACCTATTAGTGTTCTTTGAGGGGGTGAACAAACATGTGGACAAGGGGGATCCAATAGATATTATTTACCTTGACTTCCAGAAAGCTTTTGATAAAGTTCCTCATCAAAGGCTCATAAGTAAGCTCAAAAATCATGGGATAAAAGGACAAGTCCTTTTATGGATCAAAAACTGGCTAGTTCATAGAAAACAGAGAGTGAGTGTAGGTGGGCAATTTTCTCAGTGGAGGGTGGTAAGCAGTGGGGTACCGCAGGGATCAGTACTTGGTCCACTGCTTTTTAACTTGTTCATTAATGATTTGGAGATGGGAGTAAGCAGTGAAGTGGCTAAATTTGCAGATGATACAAAGTTGTTCAGGGTGGTGAAAACCAGTGAGGATTGTGAGGCACTCCAAAGGGATCTGTCAAAGATGGGCGAGTGGGCGTCAACATGGCAAATGGGGTTCAATGTGACCAAGTGCAAGGTGATGCACATTGGAGCCAAAAATCCTAAATATAAATACACATTGATGGGGTCTGAACTGGCAGAGACTGAGCAAGAGAGAGATCTTGGAGTTGTAGTGGATAACTCACTGAAAATGTCGAGACAGTGTGTGACTGCAATAAAGAAGGCCAATGCTATGCTGGGGATTATTAGGAAGGGTATTGAAAACAGATCAGCCAATATAATAATGCCCCTATATAAATCAATGGTGAGACCTCATTTGGAATACTGTGTGCAGTTCTGGGCACCACACCTTAAAAAGGATATTATAGCTTTGGAAAAAGTGCAGAAAAGGGCAACTCGAATGATAAAAGGGTTGGAACACTTTCCCTATGAGGAAAGGTTAAAGCGCTTAGGGCTCTTTAGCTTGGAGAAAAGACGACTGAGGGGTGACATGATCGAGGTTTATAAGATTATGCATGGGAAAGAGCAGGTAAAGAAAGAGGTACTTTTCTCCCTTTCTCACAATACAAGAACTCGTGGGCACTCCATGAAACTGCAGAGCGGTCGGGTTAGAACGGATAAAAGGAAGTACTTCTTCACCCAAAGAGTGATTAACACATGGAATTCACTGCCACAGGAAGTGGTGGGTGCTACAAGCATGGACGGCTTCAAAAGGGAATTAGATAAGCATATGGAGCAGAGGTCCATCAGTGGCTATTAGCCACAAGGTATAGCTAGGGGCTCTGGGGCAAGTGATGCTCTGTCTTCTTGGTGATGCAGAATAAAAAAATATCCCTTCGGGAGTTTAAAAAAAAAAAAAGTCTGGCCTCCCCCCTTGGGGAAAAGACACATACTGTTTAAATGCCATCTGATTAGCTTCGATTGTCAGTTTTATTGTTTTTTTTTATTTGAATTTGAATATATGTATTTATTGAAATACATTTGTCGAATGTTGTTAACCGTCCTGAACCCCATGTAGGGGAGGCCAGTTCAGAAATCAAATAAGGAGAGAGGAGAAATTCATCCGCAGCCCTGCAAGGTTCTTATCACTAGAAAATGTGGAAACAGAGACCAAAAGCAGAAGTCTCAGCTTGAAACTTTTCCCTTACAATAGCCATTAACAGTCCAAAGCAAAGTGGGGAAAGCATATAAAAATAAACCAAGGGTAAAAAAAGAATATTTTTAAAAAATAAAAACTGAAATGGTTCACATTACGAGCAACTTCTGTAGCATTAAGCTGAGCACTTCAGCCTCAGCTGTCAACCTTTGAATTAAGAGCCTTATTAAAATTCAGGCCCCCCCTTCTGGTACACGATGAAACCCACTTGGCTAGGCAGAATGACAAACCTGGGGTACCCAGCAGGTTGTTATCCCTCATTAGCCTGTAGTCTTCTTCACTCAGATTATTTACGAAGTGATAGAAGGCTTCTTCCCGGTCTAGTCGATCCAGCTGACTCCGACGCTGAGCTTCAGATTGATCGGCACTTCCTTTGCTGTTGGAATCTGAGTTCTCCATGTTGATCAGAATGGGAAAGATCTGCAAAGAGAACGCAGGACGTTTACCTTGGCAGCCATACGTGCTCCACAATATATACCACTTCCTTCACAGCTGCCTACTTGCTACAAGAAAGTATTCAGCTTCTCCAGAATCTCAGGGTTCGAGCTTTTCAGAATCAGGTTTCTAGCTCCCGTGGGTACAAAAGGCCTGCTTGAAATTCTGCGGGAAGCACTCGGCAACTCTTCTGCCTCCTGAGTTTCAGTAATTTTCAGTAATGAGGTTCCCAGGGGTCAGAAATTATGGCTGCGCTGTCTTGTATGACTCCTAGCCCTACCCCCTTTTGGCCAAAGGTAATAAAAGTTAAAACCATCAGGCAATTCTGTTGGATTTTCATCATGTAAAACAGGGCGGCCAAAATAACCCACTAGAAAGACTTCAGAGTTTGCACTAACAAGGCCCTGCAAACAATACCAGCTAATACTCCTAGTGATCAGGGGAGGGGGGAGGTTCAGGTGGAAGCATGATATTATGGTGAAGGTGTCTGAACATGCAAACAGTGTATGCAGGGCATTTTTATACTCAGTGTTAACTGCAGTTACTCCTCTTGTGGTGTATGGGCTGGCTTGGGGGGTGCCCCATCTGTGCCTTGAAGTAGCAAAACTGCCCATATTAGCCCACTCACACACCATATTATTTTCTTCTAGGCTGCCAAACTTTTGTGTCTGGCTTCCCAGAGGCAACTCTCACTGTGCGGACAAGGCGAGTAGCTTTTTCAAAAAAAGAAGAACATATTTCACACATTTTTCAGTGTGTCCAGTATTTCTCAGTTTTCCATGGGAAAAACTGAAAGTTATGAGACTTTTTTCATGCAACACATTTCAGGTGAGTAAAAGCTCATCTTAAACAGTTAAATGTTTTGAAAACAAGAAAATATCAGAGTTTCAATGCTCCACACTTTTCTAAAAACTAGAAAAGTCCTAAGGGTGCAGCAGGAGATCCCCCCCCTTATATTTTTCTGTTTTTTAATGCACCCACCCCCATCATGAAGCTCAATGGGTGACCATGGGCCAGTTATGCTCATGGCGGTTGTGAGAATAAAATGGAGAAGAGAACCAAACAAGGCCCCCCCAGGTTTCTCAGAAAAGCAGGACAGAAACTCAACAAAAGCTAGAGAGCCCTGCATTACGGCACAAACTAATTTATAAACTACAATTGAACATGCAACACGGAAACTTTGAATAAGATCATGCATGACCCCAACAACTTTAAAACCAATAATGGCGCATGACAATTAGGTCAAGTAAGCAACATCTGAAGCAACTGGATCGAGGTGGGTCGGCACTGCTATTGTTAGATCTTCTAGCAGCATTCGACATGGTCAACCACAACCTGTTGACCCACCACCTGGCTGGCACAGGAGTTTGTGGGGTAGTCTTACAGTGGCTTACCTCATTTCTCCGAGGTCAGGGACAGAGGGTAGTGTTTTTTTGGGGGGGGTCGACTAGGTTCTCCTTAACATATGGGGCTCCTCAGGGCAATCTTCTCCCCAATGTTGTTTAACATCTAAATGCGTCCCCTCACCCAGCTGGCATGGTGTTCTGGGCTGGGATGTCACCAGTACGCTGATGACACCCAGCTCTATCTGTTGACGGGTGGCTGCCTGGATACAGCCCCACAAAATCTGGCTGAGGGGCTGGAGACCATGGTGGGATGGCTGAGGAAGAGCCAGCTGAAATGGAATCCAACAAAGGCTCTGTCTTGGGCGGGGCGGTTCCTGGATTGAGGTCCCAACTTCCCATTCTTGACAGCGCAGAGATGCGCTGTCAAGAGTTTGGATGTGGTCTTCAATAGCTTCCGGTCTGTGGAGGCCCAGATCATGAATGCTGCCAAGCTGGCGTTCTTCCAACTGCACCAGGCTTGGCAACTGGCCCCTTTCCTGTCTCGCCCTGACCTAGCCACAATAATACACAACACTGTCACCTCCAGACTGGATTATTGTAACTCGCTGTACGCTGGCCTGCCCTTGAAACTGATCCGGAAACTCCAGCTGGTCCAGAATGCGGTGGCACGGGAGCACCACGGACTGCACACACTCAGCCTGTGCTGCACCAGCTGCACTGGCTCCCAGTGGAGTACTGGGTCAGGTGCAAGGTTTTAAGGCCACGAGAGGTCTGAGACCCACAAATCTACAGGACTGCCTTCTCTGGTATGTCCCCCAAAGAGCTTTACACTCTACTGAAAACAACTTGCTGGTGATCCCCAGCCCAAAAGACGTCTGGCTGTCCTCGACCAGAGCCAGGGCCTTTTCAGCCCTGGCTCCTACCTGGTGGAACTCTCCAATGCAGTTCCGCACGGCATATAAGGCAGAGATGTTCCGCCAGGCATTTGAGGACAGCAACGGGTACCATCTCACCTGGCACTCCATTCCCCTTCCCTCACCCTGCTTTCCTGCTTATTGTGAGACAGTAATGCATATTGTATGTTTACAGTATTTTGGCGCCATTCTGATGTTATTTTAATCTGATGTTATTTTAATCAATTTTAATTCCTGGATTTTAAATTGTATAATTTTATTGGTAATCGCCCTGAGCGCTGTCAATTCAGGGAACGGTAGTATATAAATCCAAATTATAAACAAATATAAACAATGGGCTCTGGATAGGTTAAAATCTTTATGGACTCAAGAGAGTTGCTGCTGAAGACCAACAGCCATTGGCCTGAGACTCATCCTGTGGCACAAGACTCAGTTTTATCCCAGCAGCTATTGAAACTCTACGTAAATGTCTCATTGATGGTTTTCAGAGGTGGCCGTCCTCAATCCGCTGATGACACCAAGCTCTGTATTTTTGCCCAAACCACCCAATGCTGCTGCAGCAGTCCTGAACCAAGGAATGGCTGCTCTGACTGAAGGGCTCCAGGCAAATGAGTTGAAACGGAACCCTAAGGAGACACAGGGTGACGCTGGTTAGGAAAGCCCTCCAGGAGCACATTCAGTTCCGCACATTTGACAGGGTTCAGCAGACCCGGCCCTCACTGACCCAGTTAAGAGACCAGCAGCAGTTTCATTAGGCCGTATCTGACTGCGTGGAACCATGCCAAGGTAACCTCAAGGCTAGAGTGCTAGAACCCTTCTACATTGGTCTGCTGTTGAAAACCACTCGGAAACTCCAACTGGTACAGAATGTGGCGGTTCAATTACTATCAGAGCTGGACAGAGCATTCATATTATACCTAGTCTACAGTTCACTAATTACTAATTAGTTCCTATGTTCAATGCACAGTACTGGTTATTGCCCACAAAACCATTTATGCTGTAGTCTCTGCATTTTTGCGTCTCCAAAAAATGCTACTGCAGCACCTTTTCTCAGCTGAGCAGAGCCTTCCGAAAATGCCACACTGTAAACAGGCGAGATCAACAGCTACCTGTACGCAAGCATTCTCTGCTGTAGTTAGTCAGAAAGACACCCACACTTCTTCGGTTTTGGAGAATGTGTAAAGTGGAATTGTTCACAAGAGCAATTTCAAGAAGGGACATAATGCCCTGTCCTGGATAGCCCAGGCAAGCCCAATCTTCTGAGATCTCAGAAGCTAAGCAGGGTTGACCCTGGCCAGTATTTGGATGGGAGACCTCCAGAGAATACCAGGGCCGGGAGGCCAGAGGCAGGCTATCAAGCCACTTCTCTGAATGTCCCCTGTGTCCCAGTAGGAGTCGCCAGAGGTCACCATGACTTCCAGGCACACACACAATGCAAAAATATTTAAAAAGCGGACTATTAAAATCAACAAATAACGTATATAAAAGGTGAGTTAGATCCAAAATAAGTTCTTCATCGGTGGACCAGTACTTCCCCCACCCCAGTCTTCATGAAATGCTGCTTCCGGGGGGGATAGGAGAACCCTTGTCAAGAAACTGAAGTTCTTGTTTTTCTTTAAAGATTGGTTCAGGCCTCACTTCTTCTTTTTAAAAATATTTTATTTTGATTTTTCAAACATACATCAAATAAAAACCGTATAGTTTTCTTTTACATTTTTTGGAGCATCTTATCCATACATTTCTAACCATCTATCTAGTTTCTGCCATCTTTTCTTAAACACACTTTCAAACTTTCCTGCCAGTAACATATTTATTTTGTCCATTTCTTTTATGTCCATGATTTTTATAACTTCTAAATGGTAGGCCTGAGTTGAAGCTGTAGAGTCTAAATGGGGAAAATCACTGCTCTTGTTCTTGGGAAATTTGGGCACCCTGACCTTGTGTCTCTTAGACAACAGCCCAGCTGCAGGGAGTAAAACAGTGCCTACCTTGACTCCCTTCAGGTTCTGAGAGTTCCCCAATTAGTTGTTTTTTTTCCAGTTGGGAGTCCATGATCTACACCTGGTGGACATGGGAAGATAGACTGCTACTATCTCTCCACTGTCACTTTAGCCATTTAGGTCACCTGCTTAGATCACACTATCAAATGACATAAGCAAACTGAGATCTGATTGGTCTAAGGGGCCCTAGACCGCGTTGGATTGCAGCCATAAAGATGTCAGGTTTTTGAAGACTTGCTGCTACTTTTTGAAGCCTCATGCTGGATGGTGTCTTGCTCACTGATCATATCTGGACGCATGCTTAACTGTTTGCTATGGGCCAAACACTGATCCTTTGCTGACTTTGGACTTTGACTGCTGAAACAACCTTAGCTCCTTCAGAATGGTAGCATCTGGTAACTTTGAAAAAATGTTTTACTGTATAGCTAGTTCTTGGATTTAGTTTGTTATTTTGATTCCTCGCTTCCAAGTTCCTTTTGAAATATCCTTGCACCTTTTTAATAAATTCTCTTTAATTACATTTTGTGTTGTTTTGTTATTCAGACGGCTTCAATCTAAATCTAGGTACCTCAATGACCGTAGCGCTCACTTACTGGGTTAACTATTTTTTTTTTGCAGAAACCCATTCTCCAAGTGGCCAACCTTGCCGGGCTGACTTTCTGGTTAGATCCCGGAAAAGGTTAGAAGCTTGCCCTTTGTCTTCTGGCTGTTGGGATCGACTCAAA